AAATGAAGCAGACCAGTGTCCCCACCAGGGCACGCCATCGCGTTGTGATCATTTTCTGAAAATTACGACCCCCCCCCCTTGTGATGATCACAACGATGGCGTACCCTGTGTGTGAGCACGGCAACTGCGTGATGCGAAGATTGTTGTGCTTGTCCTTCGCTCTACGTTTTCGCATTCCAACTCACATGTGACCTTCTATAGAATATGCTTTCGGAAAGAGGAGGGAATGGGTTTTCTGAGACTGTGTTCACACTTCTCGACAGCAACGATCGATCGCCGGTATGTGACAAAGCGCGCCCTAACGCTATTACTTGGACCGCTCGCTTTGATAAATAAGGAAATCCAATTTGACCTTTTTCCTGTTAATAGTGACTACTAAATGGAACTTATGACTATTTAAGAGGACCTGGAATATGCGGAAGGGGAGTTTCCACCTTTTTTAAGGTAAGGACAACTTCATTTCCTAGGTGAGCTTCTTTTGTTTTCATTGTTTCAATTTTGCAACCGCTTTAAAGGTTATTATCGTCTAAACTGTTCCAACTTCCAAAACATTTATAGTTTACAAGTCGAGTTCAAACAACGAAAAAAAGAAAAAACTCACCTAGAAACCAAAACACTAATTCTTTTATGCAACATCAACAGGTGAAAACTTTATAACCTCATGTATAAGCTCGAAGAATGAAAAAAGAAACAATAAAAACCTACCCTAAATGAAGCTCTCACGCTTTTTGCTCATTTCTATCCTGAATCAAGAAAGAAAATAGAAAACAAAAGCCATTAAGTTGAGTTCACCTTTCCTTGTGTCAAACCAAGCTTTAGTACCTGAGACAATTGCAGGTGAAAGAAGAGGAGCACGAAGTGTAGTCGAATCGTTCTAAAAGCAAGCACCCGGAGCGGTAAAAGTACTAGCGTTGGGGCGCGCTCTGTCGCGTACTGAAGCGCGGCGATCGCCGGTGCTGTCCCGAAGTATGAATGCTGCCTAACAGTTTGCTAGCAGAGTTGCACTTCCTCGATTGTGGGCTTTCTTCGAGCGATTGTGCTAGTTGTACTGCTGTCTGACTTATTTGTGTGAATTCCAGTAGTTCATAGTAGTAGCTTTACGTGCAACTACGCAATGTCTTGAATAAAATACCACCGCTGATGCTGGTGAATTCCTGTTAGACCTTATGGGAGAGTGCCATTAAAGGCATGAGGCACGATGACCTGGACCTTGTTCCAAGATAGTAGCAGGGATGCTGTACGGTGGGCAAATGAAAAATCTGGAGGGCGACGAGTGCGGCTTGGTCGTCGTCTGGCAGCGGCTGGAGGCACTGTAGTCGTTGTTGTTGGAGCAGCAGCAACCATTGAAGACTGAGATGTTGTCGAAGAGCGAAGTTGAACTGCCAAAAAACAG